GCCTCTTAAGTGCTGGGATTAAAGGTTTCTGCTGCTCTGCTTGCTTCCTCCCTCTGCTTGGGCTTGAACCCAGGACCTCCAGCACACTGGGCAAGCGTCTATTATTAAGCTCTATCCCCAGCCCGTGGGGCATATTTCTTGACTCATTATAACTCAGTGCTATGTTCTTCAGGCTCTAAAATGTCCCTGTTGTTGGAAAGATCACACACTACAAAGCCATCTTTCATTTACATTTAAATTGGCACTCTGGGGCCTTGGTTCAGTGGCAGAGCCTCTGTCTCCTATCCAGGAGGTTCAGGGTGGGCTCTCCAGCACTACGGAACACAACAAGCTGTGGTATCACCTGGAGAACTGGCAAAGCCCAATAGCAAATGACTCAAATTTAAACGTAAGTGCTAGAATTTTTCTGGTTATGAAATATTAATAATTGGTCTTTTTGGTGCTAGGGACTGAACATAGAGCCTTGCACTTGCTAAACATGTCAAGTATCATTACATATTTAATTGAGATTCTCTGTGCAGCATGGTGACTATAGCCAATACGACAGTGTAGGCCAAAATGTAAGTATGTAATTATTAGCTTGACTTAATCACTGTACAATACATATATATGACAAAACACTATGTTACTACCATCAACAAGCACCGCTTTTGTCAATTAACCTTAATAAAACTGTAAAATGGGAAATATCTTTTACACACAGCTCTTTAAATACGGCTGTACGTTCACTGCAGTGTGGGGAACACATTCATAAAACCACCACAGAAACAAAGCAAACCCATAAAATCCAAATCTAGTTTCTAGATTGATACAAAAAAAAACCAGGCTAATATTTAATAGTTATTGACGAAGAATGCTGGAATGGGAAAAGTTTAAGCTACTTACCTTCAACTGCAGACACACACACACACACACACACACACAAAACATCCCCCTGCTTACTTCCTAGGTTTGTCTCGAAAGCGCTTTAAAAATAGAGCAATGTACACATTTAAGATAACTATTTTCTGCCGATATGTAATTACTAGGCCTAGAATTTTCATTAGGCAAACGATGAGACAGTGTTCTCTTGGGGGCTTTGTTTGCGTCTTTCTGACAGGTTCTCTTGCAGACAACGCTATTCTCAAACTCAATTTGTAGTTGAGAATGATCTTGAGATTCTGATCCTCCTGCCTCTACCTCCTGAGTAACTGTTTAAACTGTTCTTTAAAAAAAATTACCTTTTATTCATTTAGAGAGAGAATGTGTGTGTGTGTGAGAGAGAGAGACAGAGAGAGAGAGAGAGAGAGAAACATGACAGCATACTCTTGTGTACCATTGTTTATCCGTGGACATCAGAGAACAACCTGTGGGAGCTGTTACTCTCCTTCCACCACGTAGGCCTCAGGCACTGAACTTAGGTCGCTGGGCTTGGCAGTAGACACGTTTGCTATAGAACTATTTCACTGGCCCCACTTTTCCCCCCTTAAGACAGAATTTCCCTATGTAGCTCAGACTAGCCTCCCTCAATGCTCCTGCCTCAGCTTTCTGAGTGCTGAGATTACAGATAGAATTTCCCAGAATTCCCCAGCAGAAGCGAGTCCTTTGGGAGGTACCCTTGCTTGGGGAACCTTTATGAATCACTGGACTGCCAGTGAGATGCACTTTGCACACCACTTCAATACCTATCCCTTGATCCCGCACTGATCATCTTGCCCTTTGTCTCCCTTCTAGTCTATCTGTAACGCAAATGGCGTCGGTCATTTAATGCATTAGTGTAGATAAATGTGGAGACGAGATACGGGAACGTGCCAAAGTCCAGAAATAATACGGCTCATTCTCTTGAAGAGCTTCTTGTCTGGAGGAAGAAAAACAGTAGACACAGACAAATCCAGACAACACCCAGGAAGAGAATACATTGCGGGTGAAGCCAGAGGCACACACATGTAATCCCAGCACCTAGAAGGCTGAGGGAGCAGGGTTGTGAGTTTGAGACCAGCCTGGGCTACACAGAAAGATCCTAGGTTTTAAAAAGTTGTTTGTCTGTTTTGTTTGTTTAAAGATGAAAACGTGTGTGTTGGAATTGAGGCAAAGCTGAGCCCACACAAGGAGAATTAGTGAGGGAGGGTCTCTTAATTAGACCCCTCCCGAAGGCCAGAGTCTGCTGGTGAAAGCACTTTGAGAAAACACGGCAAAGGCGAGCAGGCCATTCTCTCATTGTTCCCATAAACTGACAGAGGCCAGGAAGTAGGAAGGAAAGATTTCACTGATGCTCAAGAAAGGGAGAATGGCTATACAACATAGCAGTTTTATACACAGAAGGGGACCAATGTGAGAGAGCCTGTAAGAGACTAGTGTAGGAGAAACTGGCGCCAGAGCCCAGTCACTACTGAGTCTGAGACACAGCAGACAATGGATGACCAGAAATCCCAGGGCCTGTCGAAAGGCTAATGGATGGGATCTAGGACTAGAAAGATGTTTGCAGGTTGGAGTAGTTCCATGGGATAGCATCTACTTAGCATGTACAGCGTGTGTGTGTGTGTGTGTGTGTGTGTGTGTGTGTGTGTGTGAGAGAGAGAGAGAGAGAGAGAGAGAGAGAGAGAGACAGAGGGAGAGGGAGAGGGAGAGGGAGAGGGAGAGAAAAGAAGAGCATTTGTTGCTCTTGCCATGGACCCAGAGAGTTTCACCCCCCCCCCCTGCCAGTGCTTCAGTTCCAGGGGCTCCATTGCTGTCTTCTGATCTCTGAGGGTCCCAGGCATGCATGTGACACACATACATACAGGGAGGTTGTTCCCTTGAAGGACATGTGTGACACTCTAGAAATGTTTTAAAATGTTCTGTAGACAATGGTAGAAACTCACAAAAGCATGCCTGTAGTGCTTCATTAGCTTTTCATCTAAAAAGGCTGTTTTTTCTTTAAAAAAAAAATCTTTCTAGGCCGTTTCTTTTCAAAACTTCTTTTGTAAAAACTATTTCCATGAATTCCAAAACTGACCTGCATGATAATCCCCTATTGCGTTCATAAACTGTATCTCTGAGTGGCTACCTTTTAACAACACTATTATTGCCATATTGTGTGTGTGTGCCACCGCATAGTGTGGAAGTCAGAAGAGAACCTTCGAGAGTCTGTTCCCTCCTTCCGTGATGCGGGTCTTGCGGAGGGACCTCAGGTCAGACACTTGGCAGTGTGTGCCTTACCCGTCACACCATCTCTCCATCCCCGTGGGTGTGTGTGGTGGCTGCTTGCTGTAAGAAGAGCATGTGAGGAGCCTCTGCAGCAAATTATAGACGTGTGAACGAGTTGGTGCCTCCCTCACAGAAGTGTAAGTTTCCTTAACCACACAGTATCAGTGGGGACACAGACGACATTCCAGAATCGTCTAGTGTCCAGTTGTTTCAGAGTCCACTCATTCGCTCAAGTTCTGAGAGTGTACTCCCCCTGTGTCTCAGATTTCCTGCGGTGGCCTTGATTTTAAAGATTTTGCTTGTTGTCCAACAGAATGTCAGAGATAGTATCTATACATATAGGCATTCTTGACTTCCTAGAAAAACACTTTAGATTTTTAAGTGAATCTGAGAGTATCACTAAGGAGAAACTGTAAAGTTATGACAAAAGTTCATTCATAGTATTGTTCTTTAAAAAAGCGGGTATGTCCCCTGGCAGGATCGCAGAGCAGCCGCTAGTTCGACAAGGATGGCTGTGGGTCCCTGCAAGATCTTCAGGGTGGCAGTGCCATGTGGCTGGGCGAGTCAGGCGAGCAGGTACAGCGGATAAAAGGCTCACAGGACACAGTAAATAAACATAAGGGTAAACATTTATTACTTAAAAAGAAACAGAGAGACAGAGATAGACAAACATAAAGACATAAAAACATAGAGACAGAGAGAAACACGTGTGCACATGCTGAGAGAGAAAGACCAAAGAGAGAGAGTTAAGATGGCGGCGACGTCAGAAGTGGCTGGGAGTGGGCGTGGTTAGCTCTTAAAGGGATCAGACCCAAAGGAATAACACATAGCCTATACAATTCATTTTCTCATTACTAAATTATTACTAATGTGAAAATGATAAAATTACCTTAACGATTTGAGAGAGAGAAAAATCTAGACTAGCAGTTTCGTCTCTCGCAAATGGCGTGATGAGAGCAACTCTAGTGCGCACACGAAGATCTGTGGATAAGGGGATGCCATCTCTTCACGTCACGCACCCCTTTCGACTGGAGACACCGAGTCATCTGCCTTTTCTCTTTGCTTGGATAGTTTTAAAAATATTCAAGCTATGCCTCTAATTACTGCTAAGAGCTAAGAGTACAGTGTACCGGGCCAAACATTTGCCAGTGACCGTCAAGTATCTGATGCAGCTGGAGAGAGAGAAAGGGTTAGAGGGAGGGAGAGAGCGAGAGTGAGAGCGAGCGAGAGAGAGAGAGAGAGAGAGAGAGAGAGAGAGAGAGAGAGGTAAAAAGAGAGGAGAGAGAGAAAGGAGAGAGAGAAAGAAAGAGAGAGAGCGGTGTCTCTTGAGCAGGGCTTTCTGCAGCTGTTGTGTGCATTAATCCAGGGAGCAGATCTCCCAACACTAAATATAGCAAGCAGATCCTTTTACAGGATAAAAAAAAGTTTTAAATGAAAGTCTTCAACCATGGAGTCAAACTATTTCAGATTCGATTCCTTTAAGAGGGAAACAGGCATTGCACACATATTCTCTATGTCGACCACATTAGTATAACCGGTGCATATGCAGAAAATGTCAGTAATATTTGCCACCACTTCCGCTCTTGAAGTATTTTTCCTTAGAACCCAAACAGGGACTCAAACGGGATACATCTCCGTGAGTCTCATCCCGGTCCAAAAGCTTTGGAATAGAAAATCTTATTTTCCATTTAATTGTGTGTCTCATCAGACATAATTAGAAAGTTCTCCTAGGCTTCGCTCTAAGGAGCAGTAATTACTTCTCTGAAATGTCCCTTTCCCCATTGTCAGCAACCCACTGCCGGAACACACTTTCTGAACTTAAATCTGGATATTACCTTGCTCTTTTTTAGGTGACCCAGATGAGGATGTCCAACTCAGGCTCACTTCTTCCAAGACGACAATTATCCAAGGAGAAGTTTTGGGTGAAAACACGGGAGAAAGAGGAGATTCTTCACGCCCTTGGGAAGAGAAAGTAGCCGTCCATAGAGCACTCCGAGTTAACCTTAGTGTCGTTGAAGATGGCAGTTAGAAGCTGGGCAACCTGTCACCACCGCGGCCAAGAGCATTTGTCAGCTCACGGGTCCCAAGTTATTTTGAGCTGTATAAACCATGTGCCTGTGAAACATTCCACCTGATTGGACAGGAGAAAACTGAGCAAAGGGATTCCATTGCGGGACAGCACCTACGGGAGCCTGGATCAGTGTTATTTTTCTACCTACAGAATTTCATTTACAGCTGGAAGCCCAACATGTTTATTGATTGACATTTTGAATAGTATATGAGCTATATCACACTCCACCTGTCAAAGAAAATGGCATTACTTTAAAGGCTCATCAGAATTTGTCATTTTTGCCGTTATTGATTTTAAAAAATAGGTATGTTTATCTTGATGAGTTTGTGTGTGTGGTGCAGGTGGTGGGGGGTGCACGGGCACCACCGTGTATCTGTGGAGATGAAGGGCTGGCTTCAGGAGCTTGCTGGCTTCTTCCACCTTATGGGATGTGGGGATCAAATGGAGATTATCAAGTTTGTCAGAAGCACCTTCGCCTCTAAGCCATCCCATTGGCCCAGTATCTTTAATTTTAGTCAATAGAAACCTGTCTTCCATTTAACTGCTAAGACACTGAGAAACCTGTCTACAGAAAGGAAATACAAAGCAGAAACTGACAACTTGAAGCAAAGAGCTTTTTAAAACTGTCCACAGGGAGCTAATTCTAAAGCACAGACAAAAAAATAAATAAATAGAGGAAAACTCCATTAGCTTGAGAATCAGTACAGGAACAACACATTTGAATGACTGTCTTCACAACCTCGAGACAGTCCGGCGCACACCTTTAATTTTAGCACTTGGGAGGCAGAGGCAGGTGGACCTCTGTGAGTTCAAGGCCAGCCTGGTCTACAAGAGCTAGTTCCAGGACAGGCTCCAAAGCTACAGAGAAACCCTGTCTCAAAAAACAAACAAACCAAAACCAAAACAATTAGGTCAGATGTGGTGGCACATGCCTTTAGTCCCAGCCCTCAGGAGACAGACGCAGGTGGATCTCTGTGAGTTCTAGGCTAATCTAGTCTACCTAGCAAGTTCCAGGCCAGCCAGGGCTACATAGTGAGACCCTATAAAAATAAACAAATAAAATTAAATTAAGTTAAAATTCCACAAATTGGATAAGCTTAAAAGTTAAAATGAGGGCTAGCAAAATGACCCAGTGGGAAAGACTTTTGCCACCAAGCTGGTGACCTGAATTCAATGCCTGGGACCCAGTGATGAAAAAAAATAAACTTTTGTGTACACACACACACACACACACACACACACACAAATGTAACTTTAAAATTAAAAAACCTTTCAAAAAGGGAACTAGAAGGACGGTTCACAGTTGAGAGCACTGACTGCTCTTACTGAAGACCTGAATTTGGTTACCAGAACCCGTGTCAGGAAGCTCACAACCACCTGTAACTCCAGCTCCAAGGTGATATGTCTGGCTCCCTCCAGCACTGCACTCACACACATGTGTACGCACATGCACCACACGCGTGAGTACACACACCACACACGCTTGCACGCACACACGCATACAACCATGCGCACATGTGAGCGTACACACACACGCATATATATCACACACGCATACATGTCACACACATGCATACATACCACACACATGCACACACATATCACACACATACATGTCACACACATGCATATACACCACACATGCACACATATCACACACATCCATGTCACACACATGCATAC